GCAGGAAGAACAACCTGAGCAGATTGCTGATCCTCCCTGGTTGGTAAACTAAGACCAGTAGTAAGGAGGTCGTAAGGAGGTCTGAGGTTGGGAGTATCAGAGAAAAAAGGTGTGGAACTGCACACGGAGCCGAAAGCTCTGCACTTCCATGCATCAAACCACCCAGCAAGCAGGTTCCAGAACAGTCCTGGATGCCCAGCCTGCTCCCTAGCTGCTCTCTTGCCCACCCACCCCACTCCTACAGCCTTGGCTCCTCCAGCTCATAGCAGGGCACTTACACCTGCTAATGGATGAAGTCCTTGGTGACAGCTAGAAACATTAGAACTTGAGGCTGGCATACGCTGTGGTGGCAAGTTCCTGGCCATAATAGCCCTCAATGAAAGGAGATCTCTGGCCCTGGAGCCCCAAACTGCCTCTCCTTCCCAATTCCCTAGGGTCAGCTGGTCCCCACAGGAAGACTTTTCTGAGAGCTCCAGTTGGGATCTGCTTGTGTAGACCCAGATTCAGGCCACATTCCTGGGGTCAAGGCTCCAGGAGCCAGATTCAGTCTGGGAATGAGACAAGGAGACCGGGATAGTGACCCTGGTCACATGTAGACCCCTTCTGCAGCCAGGATATGGGACACCAGGGGAGACTTGAGAAGGCAGCCTGCCAACATCAGTCCTTGCTCAGAGGAAGGTACTGATCAGGAGAGGGTAACGAAGGAGCCTCTAGGCCTGGGTCAACGGGGCTCCTACTGAGAGTGGAACTCTGCTGTTGCATCTGAGGGGCCTCTTGCCAGTGTGGTGAGGGCGGGGAAGGTGGTTTGTGCAAAGGATGTGGCCTCACAGTTGTTGGTCGTAGCAGGTAATCCAAGAATGTTATGGCTGAGGATGGCCAGATGGTTCCCTAGGCCTGTACTGTGTTTCTCCAAAAATAAGACAGGGTCTTATATTTATTTTTCCTCAAGAAGACACCCTAGGGCTTATTTTCAGGGGATGTGTTATTTTTTTAAGTATGGTACAACAATCTACATTTATTCAAATATAGTTAAGTCATCTTCTTCTGGAATATCATCGTAACTCTCCAAACCCTGAATTCCATCCTGAATTTCTTGCGACTCTATTTCCTTTAGAACCATTGTCCCCAATCTCTCATAGTGAGCAATAGAGCTCTCATGGGGCAGATGAGAAGGTTGTCTTGTCTTCTTTACTACTCTGCTTGTCTTCTTTACTACTCTGTGACGAAACACATGGGTTGTGCAGATACGCTGCGGTGCGTAGCCACACCCACCACTAGGTCTTATTTTCGGGGTAGGGCTTATGTTGCACAAATGCTTAGAAATCCTGCTAGGGCTTATTTTATGGGTAAGTCTTATTTTCAGGGAAACATGGTACTTCCCAACTCTTTTCATGTTATATCAGTCCTAGAAAGTGATGACACTGGTGTGGCATGCCAGGGTACACAGACAAGTCTGCAGGTAATTAGAAGGGAATGGCCAAGAGGGTTTCTGTGTTGTTCTGTTTGGGCTGTTAGAATACCACAGGCTGAGTAACTTATAAAAAACAGAATTTTATTTCTCACAATTCTGGAGGTTTGGAAGTTCAAGGTCAAGGCACTGGCAGGTTGTGTGACGAGGGCTGCTGTCTGCTTCCCAGATGGCACCCTGTCACTTTATACTCCAGAGGGGAGGAACACTGTGTCTTCACATGGCACAAGGGAGGGAAGGGGCAAACTAAGCCCTTTTAAAAGGTTGCTAATCCCATTCATAAGGGCTTGACCCTCATGCCCTAATCACTTCCCAAAGTCCCCACCTCTTAATACTGTTGCATTGGGAATTGAGTTTCAACATGAATTTTGGAGGGGATACCACCATTCAAAACCTAGCAGCTCCTAACAGCCCAGACCCTTCCAGACCCTTGAAGGCTGAGGAGCTTCATCTCCTACTCAGGAATATCACAATACAGCAGCCAGTGGCTAGGAAGTCCTGCTCTAGGCCACGGGCCCCTCCTGCCCTGGCTCCAGCTGCACTCCAAGCCCAGCTCTTGACAAAGATACCTGCTCCCTGGGTGGTATGGGACCAACCACACTGGGATGGGACCTTGAATCTTCCAACCTCAGCAATGCAGGGATCTATGGAGACATTTGAGACTCCACCCTCTGGGTGGCTCCTACACTGAGAGCTTTTCCCTCACCTCTTTAGGCCAGTCAGCCCCACCCCTGCCACAGCTCACAAAAGAAAAGAAAGCACAGGCGTGTACACATGAGGACATACAAAAGTGGAACACCTCCTCCCAGGCCAGGAGGTGACAGAGGGAGATGAGGCAGATTCATGGGACAGACAAGGGGTGAGTCCTACGAAACATCTCGGAAGGTCAGGTCAGGTCCTCCCCTGGCCTAGAGGAGTGTAGAGACCAGAGGCCCGGTTACACTGGTAGCATAATCTCCCCTCCCCAAGTGTGGCAGCCACAAGCCCAGGTCTGAGCCAAGCTACTCCAAAGGCACCTGGCAGGGAGAGGGGAGTGATGAGGACTGAGTCATTTAGGACCAGCCAAGAGGCTACTCCTTCTTGGCAGCTTAGAGCAATTAGCACCCTGTGCAAAATAATAATCACCATGTACTGAAAATTCCCAGTGTGCTAGCTACTGCGCTCAGCACGTTCCACACCTTAGTTCATTTCACCCTCACAACAACCTGTGAGCAGGCCTCAAAGCCTTTGAGAGGCCTGGCAGCTCTCAGGTTAAGAGACTCCTTATTCTTGTATGTATGCATGCTCAGATCAAATGGTGCAGTGGAAGGGTGGATGGCAGTTCAGATTAATGGTACATTTGAGGATTAAAAACACACACAAGTAATCAAAAACTCAAATATGAGAACAAAATTTGTAAAACAATACCTAAAATGTCTTCATTATTTCACACGTATTATATAATAATTTAAATTATTTCTTTAAAAAAATTCAGAAAATTTAGTGTCATTGAAAATAATTTAAAAAAAAAATGTTAACAGGGATCTTGCTCTGTCCTCTGTGTCTTTCATCTTAAAACCAGGACTTCTCCTTTGTAAAGTTCTACTCACCTCCTGTCTTAGTCCATTTGTGTTGCTATAAAGGAATACCTGAGGCTGGTAGTTTATGAAGAAAAGAGGTTTACTTGGCTCACATTCTGTGGGCTGTCTGTACAGTGTGAGAAGTGTGGTGCCAGCACCTGCTTCTGCCTCAGGTGAGGGCTCAGGCTGCTTCCACTGCTGGTGGAAGGCAGAGGGGAGAGCTGGCGTGTGCAGAGATCATATGGTAAGAGAGGAAGCAAGGGGGGAGGGGAGTGCCAGGCTCTTTTTAACCCCCAGCTCTGATGGGAACTAACAGAGTGAGAATTCGCCCCCACCCCAGGAAGGGCATTAGTCCATTCATGAGGGATCCACCCCCATGACACAAACATTGCCCATTAGGATCCACCTCAAACATTGGGGATCAGATTTCAACATGAGATTTGGAGGGGAAAAACATCCAAAGGATAGCAACCCCCCTACACACCAAACTCATCATATTAATAATGGGAAAGATATAAACAAAGGTTAATAAATTCATAACCCAGGATTTAAAACAAGAAAGGGAACTTTTCATAAGTCAGAAACTCAGAGGCAGCCCTAAACGAAGGAGGCAAATACACAGCCTCAGCGGGACACATGGCCTGCCACTCTACCAGGTGCCCTCCGCACCAAAGCTGCCACCTACCTATTCAGTATCCAGAGGCTGCAGGGTCACTTCAAGGCTGTGACAGTCCCACACTGACATAGCTTCAGTCTCCTCCCTGGGTCCCACACTGCCACCTGCAGGCCATTACTGCCATTGCAAGGCCAGTGACTCCTGGCCAGGAACCATCACAGTCCAGGCCATGCCCAGAATTCTTTCATAGATGAGTTTACAACCACCAATCGCCAAATATATAAAGAAGGCAGAGCCCATGAAAGAGAGGCAACAAAGAACCTACCCGAAGGAAATCATAGATCAGAAAAATGCCTTAAAATACATATATTATTTACATCATCAGATTTAAAAGAATGAAGACTATTCGTGCAATAAAAACAGGTAGTTTTGGAAAAGAGCCTATTAGAGGACTTCAAATGGAAAATATTATAGTAAAGTTAAACAAAAAAAAATCCAAAAGACAAATTGAGGAACAGACTGGACACAGGTCAAGTTTGAATTCATGAACTGGATAATTATGCCAAGAAAAATTCCAGAATGCAGCACAATGAAAAGCTGGAATGTGTAAAGAGAAAGTTTAGAGCACTGACTCAGATACTCTTATATCTGTTTTATATAATTTCCAGAAACAGAGAATGAAGAGCAGTTTTGATAAAATTGGCAGATAATTTCTTAGAGCTTCAAAAAGACACGAATCTAGAAATTGAAAGAGCTCACTGATAATTTTTTAAGTTATACTTTAGAAAAATCATAATTAAACTTTTGAAAATAAAAGTCCTAAAAATTAGAGAAAGACAAATTACCTACAACAGAATGAGAATCTATTGATGTCAGACTGCTCATCAGCAATCTCAGATGCACGAAAGCACTAATGTCTGAGTAAATGTAAGTTTGAACCAAGAATTCCACACTCATCCAGACTGTGATTCATAAGTCAGGGCGAGAAAACACAACTCCAGATATATAAGACTCAGACTTTGCCATCTCCAGCCCCTCATTAAAGAACTGTTTGATTTTGCACTCCAAGAAAAACACAAAAGGAAGAAAAGAGTTATAAGAAGCAATGGCAAGCAAATAAATCAATAAAATATGTTGTGAAGTGCAAATAAAAGTTGCTATGTTGAAGTTTTCAATACGTAGGAAATAAAGTTCCAGGCGGGGTTGGGGGTGGGGAGTAGCGTGCAGGGCAGGAGCGCAGGGAACTGAGAGCAAACTGAGATGCTTTTCTCATTGGGGAGAGAAACAGAGACTGACTTCTTAAAAAATAAATATTTAAGTATTAAAAGCTTAATGAGAGTTAAAAACTGGAAATAACCCAAACTCTCATCAGTAGGGGAATGAATAAACAAATTGTGGTATATCCACATAATTCCTACCCAGGAATAAGAAGGAATGAGTACAACATAGATGAATCCCAAAGCTGTTCTGCTGAGTGGCAGAAGCCAGACACACAAAAGTATACACTACATAATTCCATCATGTGGGACTCTGGGAAAGACAAGTCTAGCCTGTAGTGACAGAAACCAGACTGGTGGTCACTTGGGGCCAGGGGTGGGGAAATGGACTGGGATGGAACACAAGATAACTTTCTAGGGTGATGGAAGTGTTCCATATCTTGATGGTGGTGGTACTTACCTGTACATGTAAATATGTCAAAATTGATTGAACTCTACACTTACTCTTGTACACTTACAGAACACTTAGAATGGATGCATGCAGTCACATGTAAACTGTATGTCAATGAAATTGTCGAGAGGAACCACCGGAACACTAGAAGCGGCACGCATAGCCCTTGATGCAGCGGAGAGGGAGAGTGGAAGAGCCTAGACTCGGAAAGCAGGAAAGAGCAGAGGGGAGAGAAAAGGCACGGTCAACAGAAAACAAGCGTCCCTCTAGACTCAGGACTTCCTTTGAAACTCCTCCAGAGGACGATTTGTTTGAAACCAAAGGATGGTAAGGTCGGTGGAAAGGTAGAGGTGGGGAGAGACGGTACGGTAGGAAGAGCAGCTTTTCCTGGTACTCAAGGGAACTGGGAATCTACATGCCTTCAGGGGCCTTGAGGTACCCCCAGAAAATCCCAGCAGTGTTTAGAGAGCTGAGGAGAGCGTGGGAGGAGGAGGAAGGCAGAGGCACCGAGGGGCCAGAGGGAGGCGGGACAAACAAGAGGTGGCTTCAGTGGTACCAACTTGAACCAGCTGAAATGCAGGTGAAGGGCCACACGGGCCTTGCTGCAGAAACCTCAGTTTCCACGGTCCAGAGGGGCCGAGTAGGGGAGGTGGATGAGGAACATGCCGTACTGAGACCAACCAGAGCCAGCACGGACATCAGTAGTTCTAACGCTGCCCAGGGGAATCCAATGTGCAGCCCAGGTGAGACCCATGGCCAGGTCATGTTTGACTCCTCCCCCCAGCTCCTCACTTGGGTTGGCTCAGATTCAGTCCTGATGACATTTCCTCATCCCATGGCTGAGGTCATCCCTGCTGCACCTGCCGACCAATTTCTTAGCTAGAGCACTAGACCAGCCTCCTACTCCCTGCCCTCCCATCCTTGTCTCAATGTCTTCCCAACCCTTGCAGAGGGTCTTGGGAGAGGGTCTATGGCTTTCAATGGCCTTTCATTAACTTTTCAAAAGTTAAGAACCATTGGAGTACAGTGTTGCACACCTTTTCATGGTTGGTAGGTGATAAGCCATCTTTTAGAATGTAGGTTCCCATTCATTTATTTGCCAAATATTTTTGGAGTACGTAGGCACTCAAGGCACTGGGGATACAGCAATGGGAAAAAAAAAAAGACAAAAATCCCTGTTCTTAAGGGGCTGATGTTCCCGGGGCCAGAGCCAGCCCGATGCTGTTTGAGATGCTGAAGGCTGACTGCAGATTCTAAGCTGCGAATTCTGTGAAGTTCTAAGAACTCTGTGCACTTCCAAGTTGTGAACTCTACAAAGGTTCAAATAACAAGTTATCGATGATGGCAGGCACAGCAGTGGTGACAACAATATCCACAGAGGAGCTCAGGGGCCAGCCTAGGGCTACGCCCCATAGACCTCTCACTGCTGAGCCCCGAGCAAAGGCGGTGGGCAGCAACGGCAGCAGTGGTGAAGAGGCAGGAGAGGAGAACCAAGCCGCCCCACCCCATGCCACCAAAGCACTGGCTCTCTGGCCCTCATAGCTCAGATCAGCTGGGGTGCTGGGGTCCCAGGCCACCCTCCTCTTAGCTGGGTCTTCTCAGAATCAGGACTGGTGAGGCTTCCCAGCATACGTGTCCCTGATTGAAAGAGAAACTGTGACTTTGGTCTCAGATGGCATGTTTGTATGTGAGAGAGGGAGGAGCAGGTCATGCAGCCAGATAGGGCACTGCGGGCTCAGGGGCAGAAGCAGCCAGAGCTCAGGTGTGTGAGGCAGCCTGGCCACTGCAGGGCCCAGCGGTGGCCCTGGGTGGAGGCCACTGCCTCCACACCCGGGCGGTGAGGAGGGCGCCACTGCAGAGGCGGAGGCCAGATGGAGAGGGCCTGGGCAGAGCGGATCTCCTCCGCACAAATCTTAAATCTGCCCATGCTGGGGAGGCTCTAGATATTTGGAGGGTCTCAGGCAGGTCAGAGGAAATACAAAAAGGTAGAGGAAGACAGAGACTCACCCAGATCATGGCCTGCATCTGTGAAAGAGGTGGGAACCAACAGGCAGGGCTACCTGTACCCACCCCCCGCCCCACCTGGCTGCCCTCCCTGGTGCACCCCACTCGCAGATGCATGTCCATTCTGTGCCCCTAAATGGTACACCCATTTAGCTCTGGGGATGGTGAAGCTATACTTGCATGAGCGGGCTGCTGTACATGTGACCAGAGATTGTGGCCCAGGTTTAAAGAGCGAGCACAGGTAATCTGCAGTGGGCAACTCACAGGGAGATGAGCACCCCCACCAGCCAGAGCCTGGCCACACGGGCCTCAGCTCACAGGCTCTGGGAGGCTGGGCAGAGAAGGGGGAGCTATGAGGAGGGACAAGGAGGCCAGAATGCAAGGGAGGGTCAGAGGCAAGATGATGGAGTCAGTGACAGATTGGAAACCCATGGGGCCTCTGGGCATTCCTGGTAGTGGCCTCTAGGAGCTTGGGTGGGGTCCCAGTGTCAGGAGGACGGTGGCACCTCAGCCTGCTCCTGCTCTGGAGGAAGTCAAGGAGCTGGGCCCTCTGAGGTCTGTGTTTGGGGTGGGCCCTGCGGCTAGACTGTTGCCTGGTTCTGCCCACAGCCCCCTGCACAGTGAGCACGGCTCTCTTCTGCCCTACCTCCCCAAGAGCCCCGCAGAGAGGTCCTGCCCGTTCCCCTACAGAAATGCAGGTGCAATCTACAAGCACTTTCCATGGCCAGGAGCCTCAGAGGCAGGTCCTAGAGAGAGCGGAAGCAGAGCCCCATAACATGACTTGACTCCTCGACTGCCGCGGCCCGAGCCCAGCTCTCTCCTCTCTGTCACAGTCCTCCTCTGCTGGGGTCAGCCCCCAGCCCTCTCCCCAGCCTGCCGCCGGTCCAGGGCCAGCTGGAGGGCGCGCCTCACAGTCTCCACGTTGTTCAGAACGTTGTATCGACTCAGGGCCACCAGCCGATCGAAGTCCCGGGGCTCATAGGTGAAGTTCATCATGCCGTAGGGGGAATCTGGCGCGTTGACAGCAAAGTCCCCAAAGGCCCTCTCCTCAGCCGTCTGCCGCTCCACACCTGTGGGTGGGGCAGCAGAGGAGAGGCCAGGCTGGGGCACTCTGTGGGACTGGTTGGCACAGCCCAGAAGCCTCGTCGCCCCAGGACAGCTGGCTGGCTCCAATGTGGGCCTTGCTTGGAGCCACATCTCAGCTCTCAGGCCCCTCAGGAGGGGATGGCCCAGTGTGAATGCTGAGGCCCAGGAAGCGGCGGGCAGCAGGGGGCAGCGGAGGCCCCCAGGAGGTTTGCTTTGGCACACTGTCCTGGGCTGCAGGGCCTCCACTGTGAGAACAGCATCCTATCACCACCCCGGGGCTTTGCAGGTCAGATCCAGGCCCAGAGCTTCCCCTTACCTGGGGCCAGGTGTGTTCGAAAGGTACGGTTGACAAGGGGGAAGTGCAGCACCATGGGCGAGCAGGGGTCATCAGCCTTGGCAAACAGATAGCACTCTCGGGGCTCCTCCAAGTCCGCAGGGCCCACCTCTATCCGAGGGAAGGGGATTCCTCGGTCCCGGCAGTACTTCTCTGTCATCTGTAAGACCTGGGCAGGGAGGCAAGCTTCTGACCCTGCCTGCCCTCCACCTGGCTCTGCCCCCCACCTGGACTTGCACAGACCCCGGCTTCAAGGCCAGCGCTACCTCTGACCAGCTAAGTGACTGCAGGCAAGTGATATCACCTTTCTCAGTCAGATTCTTCATGTGTAAAATAAAAATGGGGTTAACTACCCAGTGGGGAGGTTGTGAAGATTAGCAATAATCAATGATGATCAATAACCAATCTAGTGCTCACTGTAACTACCATGGCCTTCCCTGCTCCAACCCCTCTCCACTCCATTAGGGGCTGATTTCCTTTTCACAAGGTCGACCCTCAATGATTACAGAAGGTCAGTGTCAGGTGAGGGAGGCTTCATCAGTCCTCCACTCCCATGCTCTCATAGGACCCAGGAGGATAGGGAGGAGGCCCAAGAGCAAGGGCTGCTCCAGCAACACGACCAGAACCACGTCTGATGGCAGCTCCTGTCCACCGGCCTACAGAGCTTGAAGAAGTTGCTGCTAGAGTCTCTCCGAGGGGACCCTGATGGCTTCGTTGTTACCATAGTAACAAAGGGACAGCAGACCTAGACCCAGCCTAGAGCAGGGAATTCTATCATGGAGGGGCAGGATCTAGAACAGGGGGTCCCTTATTGGACCAAGTTAGAAGACTCCCAAGGTCCCTCTGTGGCCTCCTCTTCCTATTCTCTCTCTCCCATCCGTCATCTCCGCAAATCTCCCCCTCCAGCCGGGGAGGCCTGTGCTGCTGGCAGCGTTCAGAAGGCGCCCCTGCCACACACAGACTAGAACCCAGGCTGTCCGTGAAGGGTGATCCCCACACGCCCAGCCAGGCCCCTCCCCAGAGCCCTCTCCTCCTCCTCCTCCTCCTCCCTTCCCTCTCCACTCCCCGACCCTGCCTCCCTACCTCACCTCAAAAGGGGCTTCCAGAGAGTAGTCAAAGGACACAATGAGGTCCACCGCTCTCTGGGGCAGCAGAGCCAGTGGGAAGGGAGAGTTGATGGCGAAGCCTCCATCCACCAGGTACAGGCAGTCCCGCATGGGGGTGAGCTGGTTGGGGAAGGCGTCCGGGTGTGTGTCTGCGAGGTGCGTGTGCGCACAGGGACAAATGCGGTTGCTCTTGCCAGCTGCCCCCTTCCCTTTGTATGCTCATTCACACTCTCTGGAGAGTTCTCTCTCCCTCCCTCCCTCCCTGACAGCCTTGGGCTCTCCCACCCCAGCCACTGGGCGCTGCCTTCCACCTTCCCGCACAGTGATCAGAGACCTCCCACGCCAGCCCGGGGGCAGCAGGAGACCACCACTCAGTGCCCTGGACCAAAGCCAGCGCGGGCCCCAGGGGACCAAGGCACAGACAGGAAGGAGACCTAACCCGCCTCCACCCAGGGAAGAACCCACCTTTCCAGGCCACGAACTCCCTGCCAGCCACGTAGTCCTTGTGCATGCAGAGGCCCCGGGTGAAGTTAAAGTTCTGGGCAGAAGTAAAGCGGGAGGTGAATATGTCCAGCACGGCCTGGGAGAAGGGGCCCTGGGGCGTGAAGAGCCTGGTTCGCAGCCGCGCGGGGTCGTGCAGCTGGAGCTTCTGGCGGTCGTCTAGGCAGGCGTGGGGACAATAGAAGGTAGTAAGGAGTGGTGTCCTCCTTTGTCCAGTGACCCCCCCTCCCAGCTTAGGCCCCTCCCCTACACATGAGCCCTCCCCACATCTCTCTTCCTCCCCCACCTGCCTCCCAGCCTCTGACCACTGCTTCACAATCCCTTTTACATGACTTTTTTCATATCCCTCATGTTTTGAAAGTTATCTATGACATTGCATTTATTAAGTAATAGTTTATCTCCTACCCTTTTGAAAATAAAGTTATATGTACAATTCCAATCAGAATTTCATGTATTAAATGCTAACTGAGCAGCTACTATGTGCCCAGCATTATGCTAGGATGAGGATGCAAAGGTGAATGGGGCCTGGCCCCGGCCCTCCAGGCTCATGGCTTGCTTGTAGGGGAGTGCCACATAAAGAGACGATACATCATAACAATGCCCCAAGGGACAGACAACAATGAGGATGTGCACGTGGTCCCAGTTGGGCCGTGGCAGTAAGACACTCAATCAGCCTGGAGGGATGGAGTGAAAGAGAGAAGCCGTCAGACAAAAAACATCTGAGCTGACTCACAAGAGCAGATCATGGGTTACCCTTGGGGGACAGGTGGGAAAGGTGTTCTGTACAGCAGGGCTCTCATGGGTCATTTAAGGACCAGGCCGAAGGGGAGCCACTGAAGGGTGTGGACAGAGTGGCAACCACACACCCCATGCTCCTGGGCTGAGTGGAGCTAATCGGAGCCCAAGCAGAGAACTCAAAGTTGTGCTCTTATCACATCTCTGGGCATCCAGAAACCCTGAGCTGAAAGTCATTTCCTTAGGACTTCCCTGAATCCAGTGGGACAGACAAGTCCTTCGCTGTCCCCTCCCTCATTCTTCATGCCTCTGCCAGGGCCCTACTGCTGGAGAGTGGTGTGGGAGGGGTCAGGATCGCCCCCCTCACCTGTGATGTTTACACTGCCTCTGTGCCACTCCAGGAAGCCCAGGCTGGAGCCCACGGTCTTCAGGAAGATCTCGTCCAGGCTGGCTGCGAAGGCGCTGCCCCACACTCCTAAGGAGACAGACAGGACCCCACCCCATGTCAGGGCCTGGCCCTCACACCTGTCTGTCCCCAGCCCTCCAGGGGAGACTCACCTTGCAGGTAGCAGATCCGGGGCTCTGGCCACAGCTGCAGCAGCCGTCCCATGAAGAATTCTGAGCCGAAGAGCTCCGTGGGCACATAAGCCCCGTACTTAGGAAAGCCGACCTCGTAGGGGGTGAACTCACACCACTCTGGGGGCCCAAATGAAGGAATAGTCACCAGGCATCTCCGACCAGGGCCCTCGTGCCCAAACAAGAATCAGCCTTGCCAAGAACAGGTGGCAGCAACCCCACTGCTCTCCAAGGCCCCTGTGTGTGGCGCCTCCCGCTTGTACCCGGCTGGCCCTGGCCTCTCGCACCCTCCCATGGCCCACCTCCACTAGCTCCCTGGTCCCCACCGCCAGGCACCTGCAAAGTCTTCCCCGCTGATGTTGGTGCGGACGTTGACGGCAGCATAGATGGGGTATGGGTTCCGACCCTGGCTGACCGCCTCCTGCTGGTCAGACAGCTTGGCAGGGTTTTCCTGGGCAGGAAGGAAGGGAGCCAGCTTGGCCTCATCCCCGTGGTCCGAGACCAGCACCTGGCAGGCTGTGGCATGCCCACAAGAGAGACCTGGGGTTGGCAAGGCCAAAGCTGTGAAGATGAGCTATGCCCCATTATCACACAACAGATCTTCCTCCCTCTAGGCCCGGGGACTGTCGCAGAAGAGGGAGGCACACGAGATTGTAAGGGCCGGTTTGAGTAATAAAATGGCCTCAACAAAATATTTATGATTACATAACTAATTGCTACAAGTCTGTAACTAAAACCAAGACTATAGTAATGTGATACTTATAAATTAATTTTATAACCTTTTTTTTTTTGGCATTTGGTTTTCCAGTATATTGCTTAAAAGGATTTAAGGAGTTAATGAGTACCTGTCCATTCCCATTCTCACCTGGCCCCAAATGTTTAATTGGCTGTTAGCTTTTATGGCTCTAAACCTCTCCTCGGCCTTAGTGGTCCAAGAACTTGTTCTGTAAAATTTGGATTCAGTCAAAAGGCCACACTCAGACTCAGGGATCCAGAAGGCCTCATGTGGCCCCAAAGCTGCAGGTTCCCCACCCCTGGTAGATGGATCTAGGGATAATAGCCCTCCACCCCATCAGTGACCGGACAGAGTGAAGTTTGGCCGTCACTGCTGACTCTGGCATATCTCGGCCAAAGCAGGGGACTGTGAACTAAAAACAAAACCCTAACTCCTCTAACTGAATGGACCCCTCTCGGCCAAGGGGTGCCCAGAAACACCTTAAAACTGAGTTCCCAGCCATGATGGGATGGGAGAGGCATACAGCACAATTACAAATGCATTGTTTCCCTTCATAAATATTCATGACTCCTCCTGTAGCTTGTTGAATATGTATATTTGTATTTAACCACCCTGCTCCATAAAATCTCCTTTTGTCTGTCTTTGAAACACGGGTGCCTGGCTTCTGGCCAGAGCTCTGCTTTTCAGCATGTTGGAATGACTGCCAGGATCCTATCCTTTATAAGAAATATAAAACTCTCCTTCTTCCAAAGTATAACCCTCGTTAATATTTTTAGTTAACAGGAGCCAGAAAGGTGACATGATGTCAGCCCACCCTGGTGTCTCACCCTTTGCCTCCAGGAGAGCCCAGACCTCAGGAAAAGGCGTCAGCACAGATCTTAGACCGAGAGGTAAGGCAGAAACAGCTGGGGTGGGCGAGGATGGAAGGAGTGGGGTGGAGACGTATATTTACTTCTTGCTCTTCTCTTACCTCCCCATACAGGAAATACTCTACGAGGAGGCCCCAAAGGTCGATGAGGGACACACTATGGCCGGTGTGCTCCCGGACCCCCAGTTCCTGCGTGTAGTACTGCAGCTGCTCTGTGGACATCGCCCCCAGCTTACTGCTGCAGACCCGAGCCTGGGCACGCTCAATGGGGCCCTGCAAGGCCACCTGGGACCAGGCCGGGTCCTTGTAGAGTGTGGAGATGCACCTGGGAACAGAGGGCGTACCTTGAGTTAGGGACAAGGAGCATGGCAGGAGGAGGAGGGAGGCAGGAGTCTGTGAGTGACCCCTCTCCCCCCCGCCCCCCGTTGCCCTGTACCCTCACTCAGCAGGGCCCTGGGGACTCAGCCTCTTCCTGCCCTCCCAAGCCCCTCGGAAGCAGGATCCTAGCCCTTCCTCAGGGACTCCATCAGATAGCATGTCACGCCACTGCCCTGCAGGGCTCTCCTTTACTCTGCGCCCTGCCCATCTCACTTACCAGGTGGACCCAGACACCCCGCTCAGGTAGGTCACAGTGTCGAGGAGGCCGAGCTCCTGCAGCCCTGCCAGGCTGCCGTACAGGGAAGACATGGCTCGGGTTCCACCCCCAGAACCCAGCACAGCCACCACGGGCACCTGCACAATAAAAATACTAACTACTGCCACTGTCGTTTCTACATGATTGCTTATACATGTCAGCCTCTATTCTAGGAGCCTTGCCTGTATTATCTCATTGGATCCTCACAGCAACCCAGTGAAATCCCCATTTTACAGATGAGGAAATCGAAGCACAGAAAGGTTAAATAACGTGCCCAAGATCACACAATGTAATGAGCTATCAAGCCCAAGCAGTATGGCTCCAGAGACTCTTAACCATTGTAATAGCAGGAAGGTATGTGCCTGGAAGATATATTTGGTTCACGCAAAACAGCTAAAAGCAGGTTTCTCAACCTTGGCACTACTGATATTTTGGACCAGATAATTCTTTGTTGTGGTGCTGTCCTGTGGGTCATAGGATGATTACTAGCATCCCTGGCCTTTGCCCACTAGCTGCCAGATGCATCCCTCTACATCCTCCCCACCCCATAGTGACAGTAAACATCTCTAGACATTGACAAATGTCCCCGAGGAGGGAGGAATGAAATTGCCCCCAGCTGAGAACCACCGAGCCGAAGTGACAGAGACCAGCAAGCAGCCTGGACCCATCTCCAGACACCACAGGTGAGCAAACGGCACGGTCCTCTTCAGGATCAGAAGTGCCTGGGGGACCAGATTCGAAGCTTTTGGGCTGCCCAGCATTTCCACAAAGGTTGGGCGCATTCCACTCCAGACTTTCACTTTCTTTCCCTATCCTCTTTTCTTCTCCTGTCCTGAGAAAATGCTCCTTGGCCGCTGCTCACCAAGGGCACTGTTGCTTCTGAGTGCTGGATGAGACAGAGCAGGTATCTAGCACAGAGTAGACATGCTATTGGCTGAACAGACCATCTAAGCTGGCTCAGCTTGTCAGCGCTGGGCAGGGGCTCCATCTCCTGGGTACACACACAGCCAGGAGGAAGCCACCAGCCTGATCCACCACAGGTCTCTCACTCAGCACTCCTGTCCCCTGCCTCTCAGCCATAGGCTGACTTCTCCATGCCCAGCTCCCATGGACCTTCCACCTCCAAATCCCTTTGACCACTGTTACTGACTCAGTTGTGCCTCCCCACCCCCCAATTCGTATATTGAAACCCTTTCCCCAAAATGGCTATTTGTAGACAGGGCCTATAAGGGAGTAATAAAGGTAAAATGAGGTCATAAGGGTGGGGCCCTAATCCGATAGGACCAGTGTCCTTACAAGAAGAGGAAGAGACAACAGACAACTGGCTCTCTCTCCACACATGCACAGAGGAAAGGCCATGTGAGGACACAGAAGGCTCCATCAAGAAGAGAAGAGAGGGCTGGGTGCAGTGGGTCACGCCTGTAATCCTAGCACTCTGGGAGGCTAAGGCAGGAAGATAGCTTGAGATCAGGAGTTTGAGACCAGCCTGAGCAAGAGCGAGACCTCATCTCTACTAAAAAGAGAAAAATTAGCCATGCATGGTGGCACATGCCTGTAGTCCTAACTACTCCGGAGGCTAAGGCAAGAAGATCACTAGAGCCAGGAGTTTGAGGTTCCTGTGAGCCTGGCTGACACCATTGCACTCTAGCCTGGGTGACAGAAGTGAGACTCTGTCTAAACAGAAAAAAAAGAGAGGCCCCATCTGAAACCAACCCAGTTGGATGGAACCTTGATTTTGGGCTTCCAGCCTCTAGAACTGTGAGAAAATAAATGTCTGTATGTTTAAGCCACCCAGTCTGTGGTATTTTGTGATGACAGCCCGAGCACACTAAGAAGACATTTACATTTGGCCAGGGCTGCTCTGCCCTTGTTCCACACAAGTCCTGACTCTCCTGATTGCAGTCATCAGCTCAGGCGAATAAGCCAGCTGCCTGCTCCCTATGCTCCCATGCTTCCACTGGGCTTCCTGTCACCTCTTGGCCACATTAGTCCTTTCAAGGGAAAAGTGACCCTGAGGACCAGATGGAGCTCCTCCTCCATTCCATACCTGGCCAATGTCCGGAGCCTCACTTAATCCGAGCGCCTGCTGCAGGGCCTTGGACACGATCTGCTTCCTCTTGTCCAGAAACTCCTGCTCCCCGTCACTGAGGTCAAAGCCAAGGCGCAGGTCCAGGTCCCCAGAGCTGCCTCAAGTGGGGCAGGGGCGGGGTACTTGGTGACTGTCCGGTGGAGGAGAGCCTCAGGCCCAGCCCGTGTTTCGCAGGAGCAGGCCCACACTCTGAGGAAGCCCTCAGAAATTCCCCAAGGGACTTCCTACCAGCACCAGCACTGGGGAGGGGCAGGCGCCAACCCCAGGGCCTGAGCTTCGTGGGCTGGAGAGCAGAGCACGCTGGGGTGTTTCCCCACACTTCCAGCCCAGCCCCAAGAGGCCTTCCACCTGAAGTTCCACCTCACCTCATTTCCGCCTTCACACTCAGAGCCACCTCCTGGCCCTGAAAGAGATGGCAAGCTCACCCTTGAGCACATGGAGTGGGGTGCTCCCAGGGAAATGGCCTCCCCCCTGCAGCCCCTTTGCTCAGGTAACTCTGGCCCAGTGTGGACGTCATGGCTGAACTCCAGGGTGGGCTGGTCTGCACTGCCTCTCTGGGCCTCGCCCCAGCCCCCTCTTGGTGGTCACAGAGCACCCTCCAGCACCCAGGCAGGGACTTACCTCCCCCAGGGCCACCAAGCACTGCTCCTCCTGGCCTATGGGCAGAGAGGAGAGCGGGATGCCCCCCTCGCCCAGCTTGCTGCTTTGAGCCTCCAGCTCTGCATTCGGACCACTCTGGAAGGAGAAAACACCCAAGGAGCTCTCCAGCGTGGCTCTGGGACGCTCCTCTGGCTGAGCCGATTCTATGACCCCGCCCTTTGTCCCTGGTTCACTCACCTGTAGAACCGTGAGCTTCTCCTCCAGCTCCACATCCAACCTGGAACTCAGCACCGGGTTCACGTGGAAGGTAAAGGTGGGTGGAAGGCCTGGCTCCACGGGAGGCTGCAGGGGCAAGAGCTGCGGCTTCTCATAGGCCCCGGGCACTGCCAGCTGGAGCTGCCTAGAGCCTGAGAGCAGAGGGCCCAGGTGAGGGTGAATGTGGCCCTGCATGTGTGGCTCATGATGGCAACACCCAAGCAGCAACGACTCTGCTCTTCTCTTCCTCCTGGGAAATGCCATCTCTTATCACCCTGCTCCCTCTCAGCCACTCTGATCATGGGAAAAACATCATGAAGGACTCCTAGGGGCCTACAACCTGTCCTGGTCAGAACTGGGACCCCGGGACCCCGGAGGAGGGTGGGAGACGCACAAATGCCTAGGGAAGAGGGAAAGGCAGGGAACAGGGCCCCTGCCCATAGCCCAGGGGGTTGGCAGTTTTGAGATTATTATATTAACTATATATGTATAATTATATAAATTTATATATTCATTATTATATTAATTACCAGTTTTCAACTGGTGATTTCCCTCATCTCTTTTTTTTTAATTTTTTTTTTTTTTTGAGACAGAGTCTCACTTTGTTGCCCAGGCTAGAGTGAGTGCTGTGGCGTCAGCCTAACTCACAGCAACCTCAAACTCCTGGGCTCGAGTGATCCTGCTGCCTCAGCCTCCTGAGCAGCTGGGACTACAGCATGTGCCACCATGCCCAGCTAATTTTTTCTATATATATTTTTAGTTGGCCAATTAGTTTCTTTCTATTTATAATAGAGACAGGGTCTCACTCTTGTTCAGGCTGGTTTCGAACTCCCACTTCAGCCTCCCAGAGTGCTAGGATTACAGGCGAGAGCCACCACGCCCGGCTGTTTTCCCTCATCTCTTACCTCCATTTAGGCTCTGCGCTCATTGCCTTGGAGGAGGTTTGTGGCCAGAGAGAAAACAGAAATAGGCTGCAAGTCGTTCTGGCCTTTGTTTCCAAAAGCATAAGACCTTGGGAGAAGGGAAGGGGCTCGCAGAGGAGGTCAAAGGAGGTATGGGATTTGTGGGTACAGAGAGGACGTCCATCCTGGGGAAGACGGAGGGCCAGCTGGGCCGGAAGATGAGGCCCAGGCCAGGAGGGTGAAGGGTGGGCCTGTGGGCCAAGGAGTGTCCTGCCCTGTTTCCCAGCAGCTTTCTGGCGAGGAGACCAGACCCCAGAGAGAAATGGCTACAGGTGCCAGCCAGGCAGAGAGCACCACAGGCAGCCTCACAAGAGTCCCTGACCCCAAATACGACAGGGAAGCAACAGAAACCCTAAGAGCACAAGGGTGGCAGATACCAGAGGAGCAGAGGTCCAGATGGGGTCCCACCCCCCACAGCAGCTCCTTGCTCTAGATGAGACCCAGGGACTTGTCATAAGCCTGAGGCAGGAGGGACTTAGGGAAAATCAGGAAAGTGACATTTCATTCACACCAAGGTTTGTGGACTGAGATGGAAATGTCCCATTTGTAAGGAGAAATGATAGAATCTTTGGTTCAGAGAATGAGCCATGGGTGTCACAGACCTGGGTTTGATCCTGGCTCTATTATTTATTGGCCGTGTGACCTTAAGCAAGGTTCTTCTTTGAGCCTTGGTCTTGTGAGTTACAAGAGAATAACGATTGCACTACATTATGGGGTTGTTATGAGGATTACAAGATAACATGTATGTAAAATGCTTAGCATGGGGCCTGACTCAGAGTAAGTGCTCAGTATTACCTTGGTAGGACTCAGACTGTCAGTACTGGGAGGGACCTTAGCTATCCCACTTCTGGATCCCTATCCCCTACCCCCGTGGGTGGCTGCCCTCTGTGGCACTCTGCATAGATGGCCCCAGTTCTTCATGTCCCCAATGTTCTCACTCTTTGCCACATGACCCCTCCCACTAAAGAGGCTGGCTATATTCCCAGCCTTCCAACTTGCAGATGTGACCAAAGGCTTGACAAGCACTTGCTCAGTTGGGCTTGCTCTCTGCGCCTCTCTGATGCCTTGAGAACATGCCCAGGCTAGTCTGCTGGTCCCAGAGGGAGGATGAGAGACACACAGAGCAGAGCCAGGTCACTCCTGCCAAGCCTGGCCTGGATTGGCCAAGTCCCAGCTAACCACCAGATCTGTGAGCTAAGTAAACATTTCTTGAATGCCACCAAGATTTTGTGGGGTTTGCTGTAGAGCAATAGTTGGACTGATACAACCTCTATGCTTGAACAATTTCAGGGACAGGAAATTCACTACCTCCAGGGCAATCCATTCCATCTTTGGTCAGCTTTGAGCAGTGAAAAACGTAGGAACTTCCTGCCCTAGACCCACCTCCTTGACATCGGCAGCCCCAAGTCCAGGAGAGAAGGCAAGACCCAAGGCCTCCAACCAGACTCACCATACTCTTGTCTCAGGGCCGTCCCATCTTCTGAGAGGGTGCCCTGGACTCTCAGACAGGGGTGAGCCTGCAGAAAACAGAGGCCTATGGGAGCCAGGCAACCCACAGGGCCCTTCACAGGGTGCCAACCACCACGGAGGGAGGGAGGGGTATCTGGGCCAGGGTCCAGAAGACTGCTATCCCAGGGCCTTGTGGGTGGGGGTGTTCTGTAGCAGGTCCCAAGGCCACACCAGCCCCCAGGACTCAGGGAGGTGGGCCCTGGTAGGGAAAGGGAGGAGGTGAGAGGCTCTGATAGTGGCTCCTTGGGCAGTCCCTGCAGCCAGGACCCCAAGTGAGTAATGTGCTGTGCACAGGTAGGAAGGCTGGTCCTGGCTGTCCACCCAAGTGCCAGGCAGCTTCCTGTCCATCCCTGGAGATGCCTCCCTAGCACATCTCCCCTCTGAGGAGGGGTTGAGGGTCCTTCAGAGCATGACAGGCTCAGTCATGGACTCCTTGCAGTCCCCAGCCCGGGACAGCCTGAAGCTTGCCTTCCCTACTTACCACCAGGACCCCATTGGTGATGACTTCAGATGCAGGCACCTGGCTGCAAAAGATGAGGGGCTCATGGAACATCTGGACCCCTTGGGGTGGCTGTTGCAATAATAATGTGACCAAAGCAGCTGGAAGAGCCTGGGGAGCCTGGCAGGGGGTGGGGGTGGGTGGAGCTGTTGTCCAACATGCAAATGGAGGTTGAGACCAGGTTACCCCCCTTTAGGCCAGGCCTGCAAGGCCAGAATGGGACATGGTGACTGGCAGCTGGGAGCTCCCATGACTCAAATCTCTGAGTCTCAGAGTAAATAGGAGGGCTCTGGCTCTGCCTGGACTCACCTCTGCTCCAGAACGAATTCCACCTGCAGCTCTTGTGAATCCTGCATGGAGGAAGCATGGAGCACTGAATTTTAAAAGTCTGTGAAAGCCTCCAGGACTGTCCCTGGCCCCAGCCCTGCTCAGCTCCAAGGGAATACTGGAAGGGGATACTGTCATTGTGGCTTGTCAAGGACACAGGAGGGGCAGTGGCATCTCTACACACAGGCTCATTCATTCCAAAATGTGTGCTAGTCACTGTTCTAGACACCGAGAGTTCAGTGAGGGCTGAGACAGACAACATACTGCCCTCGAGGAGCTCACACTTTGGTTTCATGCGAGGAGGAAGTGCTGGATGGAAACCTTGACAAGGTCAGAGCTGTGGGACGGAGGAAGACCTGTCCTGTACTCCCCAGAGCCCCATCATGGCGGCCCTGTGCCAGGCTCTCTGCCAGCACGGGTGGCTCACCTGGCGGTCAAGTGGGAAGGTGTGTCTGTGGGGTTCGCCACACTTGAGGCTCCTCAGGTCAAACAGGAGCAGGGAGAGCTCGTCGCTGCTCAGGACATCCTTGTCATAGAGGGTGAGCTCCAGGACGTTCTGGGAACAGGGCAGGCAGGAGGTCGGCGCTGAGGCAGGACAGGAGGGCAGAACCTGAGGAGCTCCCCTTCTTCCACAGCCCCTGCCTTGCTGGCCTCACCTTCACAGCACCATGGATCTGATAGTGGAAGGTCTCGTTCCACTCGGGGTTGCTGCAATTGGCCACTGTTCTTGTACGGGCAGGGCTGGGGGACGCTGTTGGCAGCCACAGTTGCACGTAGCAGTCGGCTTTGGACACTGCAGGTATGACAGGGGTGGGGCCTCAGCCTCAAGCTCTTATTGCGGGAAAGGTTTCCTGGAGGAGGCTGGGGCAGAGTGAAGGGAGCAGAGCGGGGAGAAGAGGCTGCCCACGTGGCGTGGTGGGGTGAGGGGGTGGGGGGAGAGTTTTGCTGTCCTGGACTCCATTTTAACCAGTTACACCTCCCTTTCAACTGAACAGAAATCCTGCAGCGGCTAGTTGGAAAGATCACGTGGCCACACAGACTATTGAGAAATCCTCGGATACTGCCTGATTTGGGCAATAAAATTCCCTCCCTGCATGAGCATTGGCATGGAAAGCTCCAGGGGAGCAGGTGTTGACCTGCAGCGACAGCTGGCCTCACACCTCACCCAGGGAGGCACTTCCTAGACTCAGGGAGGAGTCCGGGGTCTGCACAGCACCTGCCTGCCCCTCACAGGCCACCCCCCCTCAGTCTCATGCACACACTTATATACACTCACACACACACTTACACAGAGCTGAGCTCTGAGGAGGCCCAGGGAAAGGAAGGGGAGAAGTGGAGATGGGGTCACTCACACAGGTCTGTGTGCTGGATATTTCTGGCCCTCAGCACCTTCACCTGGAGGTCATAGTATGGGTAGGTTTCCCGCTGAAACAACAGAACTCCAGGACTCAGTTCCAGGGAGCTGGCATGGGGCCTGGTCCCCTCCCTCCAGTGGCTCCCAGCTCATTGTTCCCCATCGCAGAGCAGCAGCCCAGCACAGGGTCACTGATGTCACTGTGTAGGGACCAGGGAGACCGTGCCAGGGCTCAGGTGTCAGGAGCTCAGCACCTTGGTGATGTGACTGGACCCCGGAATCCATCAGGCCTGGGCTCAAATCTAAGCCTCATCAGGGACTAGCTGAACTGTGGTTATCACTCACCACAAACTTGCTGCCCCCCCCTCAGGCCACTGGGCCCTCACTGTAGCTTGGGAGCTGCAGTGAAAGCTGGAGTAATTAATGTGTTTGAGGAGATTAAGTATTAAAAGAGAAAGCTGTGACCCACCCCACCCACTAGCTCCCAGACAAAGCCTAGAAGACCGCCCAGGTCAGTGGGCAGGTGAGCAGAAGCCAAGAGTCACCCAGCCTATACTGGTCTGATGAGTCGCTGAGGAGATCGCAGCCGGCTCAGGAGAGATAACATTAGGGTGCAACTTCCTGGGAGTGAAACTCTTCCTCACAATCCCAGCAGGCTCCTTATTCCTTCTCCCTACAGTGGGTTCTGCAATCAAACTGGAACATTCTTGGCAAAAAACACCCAACCGGACAAGTGTCACATATCCTTACTCTCCATTTCCTAATTGGAGGGGATTATTTTCAAGAGCCAAGGTTTTGGTCAATCTCTCTAACTTCTCCCAGGTCATCTGTAAGGAATAGGTCCTGCCCCAAATCAAACCCCAGTGCTGGGGCTGGCCTTGGTCCTCACAGAGGACTGCAGCCCCCAGGACTCCTCCAGCCCACTTTCCCAGGTAAGATAAGGTACGTTACCCGCTGCCACCGAGGACCCCTCTTCTCTCTCTTCCACAACAGCACTGCCCCCAGGAGGGGCAGGCCCTTGCCAGCCAGCCACTTTGGCCAGAGTGCCCAGAGCATGGCCAGGCAGCCAGGCCCAGCAGGGAGCCCTGCCTGCTTTCCAGAGCCACCCTGCTCTGTGGCTACACGCGCTGCTAGCTCAGGTCTGACAGGTAGCACTGGGTGGGGAGGGTGGAGCTGCCTGCTCTCCTGAGGACTCAGCGCTGGGTGGCCCATTGGGGTTGGAGGTGGGGTTTGACATGCTCTAGGAAGTGGCTGGAGCCTAATTTCCTCAGGCAGGAGGCAGTTCAGTCCCTCTCCAAGACTCTTGGAGTCTCTGGTTAGTACCCTGGTTCCCAAACCCACCTCTGGTTATCACTGGGCTGGCTTGTGACAAATAGAGGCCTGAACCTCATCCTTGCCAGTCTGAGTGCAAGTGGGTAAAACCCAAGTGTTCACATTTCCAACAAGCTCTCTGACACAGCCGGCCCAGGGAGCGTTAGCTGGGCAGCGCTGTACCCGGGACTAGTCTCCTCCAGCTGTCAAAAAGGCCTAAACCAACCACCTTCAAGTCCCACCTTCTCACAGCTCTTAAGTAGAAGGCAGCATGGGAACCTTTGGTTTAGTGTTCCATCTGGACTCAAAAATGGTTGTTAGATTTATTTCATGTGGGAACCCCAAAAGTATGTATAGGACAGAATGTGGTTAATGCAAAACTTAGGCTTGTAAAACAATAGCCGCAGGAGTCTGGGGAGTCCCCCGACTTTGTAGATCTGGCAGATGGCTGCAGCCAGCATTCCTTCCCCCTCCCTCCCTGATAGAGATGAGGTTTATCTCTTCCTAGTAGATCTGATAGGCAGCTGCAGCCAGCATTCCTTCCCCCTCCCTCCCTGATGAGACCAAGGCTATATCCCTCCCTAGCCCTCCTGATAAGGACTACACCAGCGGCAGAAGGATGGATGCAACTGGGGCAAAGGGGTAGTAGGAGTTGGTTTTTTGAAGAACTTACTACAAACAGCTATTCTGCCCACTGTCCTCTGCTGCATGTGGCAGGAAGCAATTCTTCACCTGCCGGTTTGGCCCAGAAACAAAGGACTGAACAAGGCAGGTGGGAGGGGGTCGGCTATCCCCATTTATAAAAACCCTCACTAAACCCCCTTCTGTGCTCTCTTTTCGGACTCAGCCCACCCGCAACCAGGTGAATAAACCAGCCATGTTCCTCTCACATAGCCTGTGTGTGAAATGTGTCCTTTGGGTCATTCATTCACCCTTTCAGTTCTCACCTCTCTCGGCCTCCCTCATTTATTCCCCAAACACTGAGAGCCTGCTGTATCAGACCTGTACCAGCCCACGAACGCAAAGGAGGGCCGGTCTACTTCTTGAAGAATTCCCAGCCTCGTCACTCCCTGCGGCTTCCTTCTGCCCAGGCCTCTCCCTGGGTCGTGTACAGAGCGCACCACACAGTGTCCGGGTACAGAGAGTTATTTGGTCAGGTGGCATAAATAAGGACAGACAAAAACCAAGTCTGCCAGGCCTTCAGCTACTAGAGCAAGGCTTTCGAGACACCTCTTCTGACCACTGTAGACTGCAGGCTGCAGGTAGTATGTGACGTCCCCTTTTCTGTGGATCACAACCATCTCGATGGCTAAGACAGGCACATTCTCCAGTAAGAGTAAGGATCTCTGGGGCAGTGAACTGCGGGAGATAGATTTCTGTCCCTCTACCAACATTCAGGCATCTCCACTCTTCCCAAGGCCTAGTGTCACAGGCTGAAAAAAGATCCAAAAAGAGGTAATTCAACTCCAGAATCAACCAACTGGGCAAGTTCAGACCAGAAACTCCCAGAACAAAATGGAATGTGACTGCCAGTGGCCAGGCCCCTAGGGAGGGCCTATTTCTGCTTAGACTGTGAAGCCAGGACCTGGGCTAGGGTCTCAGAAATGGGAGTCCAGCCGCCTTGGCTGTCTCTGTGAATGTGTGCAAGGGGTCTGTGGATCCACATCAGAGGAGCCCAAGGCGGGAGGGCAGAGAGCTGGCGGCAGAGCCAGGCCTGTGGTCTGCGCTCCTGACTGATGCGCTTTCGGGGTGTACCACACTCTCTCTGGAAGTCATCTGCCCCACGCCTCAACAAAGTCATGGGTCTTAGTTCCAGATATTTTCATTCCCAGAAAACTCAGGGTGACCACAGACAGCTCAAGAGGGGCACAATACAGAAGGACTTTGCCTTCTTGGAGCTGGCTAAAGTGAACCAACACTTCCCCAATTCTCGGAGACCCCTGGTGTTTCCTCCCAGTCATCATGAGCTGCAGGAGAAGCCCAAGGCCCTACCACTGAAGGGGAAATGCTTGTATCCTCTAGAGTTGCAGTGTGTTCAGCAGGACTTTGTGATGGAAATGTTCTGTATCTGTGCTATCACTTTATCAGCCATTAGCCACGCTCGCTGTACTGGGTGGCACACGTCAAGACATGTAATATCCAGCCTACAGAGGACAACAACAACAAAAAAACCAAGAAACACGTAACAGAAGTACTTTACTGACATTTTTTCTTAGTTACTGATTGGCTTATTCTTTTAATTCTTAGCTAAGCTACTATCCTTTCATTGTTGTTTTCCTCAAACTCCATAGGATGGGGGGAAAAAGAGACCCAGACAGACTTGGTTTCTTGCTTTATTGGGTTTATTATGAGGAGCGGTTAAGAGATCTCCATGTGTCCTCATTAGAGGCCTTTCTTCTCTGGCCTTCTCCATCCCTCTGTGAAGGGAGAGTCTAGGGAAGAAGAATGGAGTGTGGGGAACAGGGTGTGAATGTGCCAGAGGGAAGAAGACACATATTCCTTATGCTATTGCTTCCAACACGGTTCGTGAGAAAAGACACAGCCGGCCAGGAAGGCGGGATGGTGTGGCACGTGAGTTCCTGCCGTGCAGTGGAGGGTGGGCCCGGCGCTTCCCTGATGCTCCGGGAGAAGTGCAGTCCCACCCAGCGCAGGTGTGGCCGCAGGCAGTACTGCTTCTTGTGGGTGTGGCCAGTCGGGACGGTGGCTTTTCTATCTCCACACACTGGTCCACGGAACTCTTGTGAAGTGCTGCCTGGCCCTGCAACCCGAGCACAGTCTTCCATGTCTGTGAATGGTGCTGACAGTACTCACTCTCTCTTCAGACACCCCCAGACAGCACGCCCGGGGGGAGCCCAGTCTACTTACCACCAGCAAGTTGGCCTGGAACATGGCACTGTACCACACACAGTTCACAAAGGACAAGGCATATCAAGGATAGGCCACTAAAACTGTCAGTGTTGGGCACCCTTACTACGTCACCCACCCTCACTCCGTCTAAAGATACTAGGGCCACAAGACTTGGAACCTGCAATGAACCCAGGGAGGATGGGATGCAGGACCATGCTCCTCATGTGACCCCAGCCTGCAGTGCTAGCGACTCTAGCCTGTGCACCTCTGGCAGGGTCCCCTGCAGGGTTCAACAGATGAGGCAGTGAGTTATTTTCTAAACTCGTGCGCCGCTGCTCCTGCCCTCCCATGTTCTCTCTGCTCTCTCTGAGCACCTTGCAAGCACACCTGGCATCACATCTTGCCAGTCCTTGCTCTGCTCTATCCCTGCATGTAGCAGAAATCCAACTTCCTACGATATCCCAGCGTGATATCCAAAGCCTGCAAAACAAAGCTGGGGAACGATGGTTGTAATGCTGTAAGGCAAGTGAACAGAAACTGACTGCAAAAAGAGAAAGGCGCCCAAAGCACAAAGAACTCCATTCGCGAAGACTGAACCAACCATCCAAGTGGCTGGTGAGTGAAGCAGAGCAGGTGCCCTGCAGGCATGTGTCTAGTGGACCACAGCCCCTGCGCAGTGCCGGCCTCTCCTCAGGATCTGTGGTCACGCTCGGCCAGAGGGCAGGTCCACAGGCCCCTTTCTAGGCAGAGGATGGTGCTCCTTGGGCACCAGGCGCGGAGTGTAAGGAGGGCCTATTTACAGCACACCTGGCAATCAACTAGCAATGGATTACTGGGAACTGAGACTTACTCTTGCTTATCACCCTACCCTGTTTACACAGTGGCTGGAGTCACGGAAGTGGGAGAGAAAGCCCGGATGGGGCAGTGAGGGGAACATAAATGAGGAGAAAGAAAGAAAAATGGCAGCTAAACGGGGTGAGCAGAGAGGCTACTGAGGGCCCCAGGATACAGCTGCCGTGGAGATACAACGGGCACCACACAGAAAATGAGCCCTTCCATCTATGCAGCCAGACTAGCTCAAGTGCTGTCCTCTCACAGGACTCTCCAGTCAGCCACACCGAGGGGTCCTTGTGAAGCTGTGCATTTACCTTAACAGAAAAACCCTCAATAAACAGCCCTGTGGTTACAAACACTTGAGACAAGGTTCCTCATTCTGGTGACTGGTTTGCAATGGCAAGATGGCACACCTCCTCTTGCCTGAGTAGGTACTGAGTTCTCTGGAACTGCCCACAACATAATGGTATGAGGTATTACTAATCTCTTTTTCTATTAAAAAGCTGGTAATGCCAGACCACGAGTCTAATTAATTCAGAGATGTTCCAGGGTGCAAGATAGCTGGTAGTGTCCAAATGAGGAGACATCTGGCGGTAGCAGCCCACAATTCTAAGGCCAGGTGCTCCTTCACCTTTCTGGCAGAGCCAAGCTGTCCATCCGCTGAATCCCTGGGATGCTGGGCTCAGGTGTCAGCTGGGTTTACCTCTTTAGAACAGAAGTAGTGCACGACCACTCCATTGGGGTATCTTGCAAATGCACTGCAGAGAAGGAAAATGGTGTGGGAGTGAGGACTAACTCTAAGACATCACTTCTCTGGTAGTGGCCCCTTTCTTCAGAGGGCAGCTATCCCAGAAGCAGCCCACCCAAACTTCAAAGAACAGCCTGCCCTGTGGTCTCTGGATTTCTGTAGCCCCTATCTCTGGCAAATAACCAAACATAGGATGAGATGCATATGGTCAGAATGCATGAGGATATTTCTTATTAAGAAATCAATGCAAAATACATGGCAAATGGGCAGTATGCCAGCACACAGCTCAGCACTGGCTTACTGAGAGCAGACAAGCTCAGCAGAACAGGTCTTAGGCTAATTCTAACAATGGTCAGCCAGTTAGGTCTTCCAAAGGAAAGGATTCTTCCAGCCATATGAGAAAAAGGACAAGCCATTCTCCAGTGAAGGAAAGGTAACTGACCGCAGTACATGTGGTCTTAGCACAGTATGAGGCTGGCTCAGGATTTTACTCAAGTCATGAGGTAGCAGCTTGAAAGATCTCTGTCTTCTTTCAGAGGCTCATCTTTTAAAAAATAAGGACTTTCTGCCCACATAATCATTTACACACCCACTGGCTACATCATAATTTCTAGCTGCCAAAGGGGAGGGGAAGAGCTTTATGGGCAAGAATG